CTCGGGTGCGGCCGGTCTGTGGCGGGCGCGGGCGCGGGCGCGGGCTCGGCGTCGCCCCTCCGCGAGGCAGGCCGCTCGCCCGCCCGCCCGCCCGCGCTGCGCTCCGCTCCGCTCCGCTCCGCTCGGCCCTGGCGCCCTCAGCCGCTTTTTCCGGACTCCGAACGGCTTCCTCCTGCAACTCCTGCGGCGCCCAGTCTTATCCCTCCCACAACAACCCCGTGAGGTAGGCCATGCTGAGCAGCTGCGACCGGCCCACAGTCATCCGGTGAGCTCCGTGGCTGAGCGGGGACTCGAGCTCGGGTCGCCCGAGGCCCCGTCCCGCGCTCTCGGCCACGCACCTCACGGGCTCTCCCGGGATGGCAAGTGTGAAGGTGCGGCCAAGCGTGGTGTCAGCACTACGGGGCGACTCAGCTATCGAATCTCGCTCATGTACCTGCGAAAGGGAAGAAGGTATGCGCTGAGATCTCTGGAATGCTGAATAAACATGTTATATTTATAACATATTATTTGTGTTATATTTTATGTTATTTCATTTATGTAAGCTGTCCTGAGGCTTTTGCGACAGGACAGCATATAAATATTTTAAATAAATAAATACATAAACGCACAGCCTGCCCCCCTCACCTCGAGTGACAGGTGAGCCAAGGAAAAGCAGCCCCCACAGTGGCTCGCGCCTCGATGGATGTCCCGGCCCCCCTGGAGGCCCAGCTGGAGGAGGTGGCGAAAGGAGCTCTCTCCTGGCTTTGCTGCACAAGGCTGTCCACAGGAGCTGGCCCTATTGATGGGTATCCTGCTTGGGGTGCGGCCAGGCAAATGTGAGCTTTCCACCTTGTAAGAGTTGGGGTGGGCCATTCTCGATGCCTGCTGATCAAACAAGGAGGTCTATGGGGAGCAGGTCATAAGCCGGCATGCAAGATTTCTAAGGGGAGAAAGCAAGGCAACCCAAGGTGGTGGAAACTATTGCCACAGAAAGCTGGGCTTCCTGCCCCTTCTTAATGATGATAGGGACCATGGCACACGGCCTGTGGTGCTGGCCACAGCGGCTTCTCCCCACTTCCTGATTTCACCTTGCCTCTCGTCACTCTGGGTGGAATCATGAAACATCCAAACAGAGCAAGTCAGGCCTCCCTGAGGTAAGAATGTTTGCTATTGTGAAGATGCTCCCGGAGCCGAGTCAGAAGGGGCCTCCCGGAGACCTCAACCAAGGGCACAGTCTCAAGCATGCCTGAAATAAATGTTCCACGTGTTCAACAGCATGTATTTCTGTGTGTTGACAAACAAGCATAACAAACAAGCAAAACTACCAAAAAAGATCAAGAAGGGATTTTAAAAAATCATTACCCCGATGAATATACAGTTGTTGTTGTTAGTCGCGAAGTCGTGTTTGGCCCATCGTGACCACATGGACAACATTCCTCCAGACCTTCTTTTCCTCCACCATCCCCCGGAGTCCACTTATGCTCACCCTGACTGCTTCAGTGACTCCATCCAGCCACCTCATTCTCTGCCATCCCCTTCTTCTCTTGCCATCTATTGTTCCCAGCATTAGACTCTTCTCCAGGGAGTCCCTCCTTCTCATTAGGTGGCCAAAGTATTTGAGTTTCATCTTCAGTATCTGGCCTTCTAAAGAGCAGTCAGGGTTGATCTCCTCTAAGACTGACCAGTTTGATCACCTTGTGGTCCAAGGGACTCGCAGGAGTCTCCTCCAGCACCACAATTGAAAGGCATCAATCCTTTGGCGCTCAGCCTTCCTTATGGTCCAGCTTTCACAGCCATACATTGCAACTGGGAAAACCATAGCCTCAACTATACGCACTTTTGTCGGCAGGGTGATGTCTCTGCTTTTTAGTATGCTGTCTAGATTTGCCATAGCTTTCCTCCCCAGGAGTAAGTGTCTTTTAATTTCTTGGGTGCAGTCCCCGTCTGCGGTGATCTTGGAGCCCAGGAAAACAAAATCTGTCACTACCTCCATTTCTTCCCCATCTGTTTGCCAGGAAGTGAGAGGACCGGATGCCATGATCTAAATGCTGAGTTTCAAGCCAACTTTTGTGCTCTCCTCCTTCACCCGCATCAAGAGGCTCTTTAGTTCCTCTTCACTTTCTGCCATTAGAGTGGTATCATCTGCACATCTGAGGTTGTTGATATTTCTCCCAGCAATCTTAATACCATCTGGTATACACAGTAGAAGTGTCAAATAGATTTAAGGAATTAGACCTGATAGAGTGCCTGAAGAACTATGGACAGAGGTTCACAACATTGTACAAAAGGTTGCAACTAAAACTGTCCCAAAGAAAAAGAAATGCAAGAAAGCAAAATGGCTGTCTGAGGAAGCTTTACAAATAGCTGAGGAAAGAAGGGAAGCGAAAGGCAAGGGAAAAAGAGAAAGATACACCCAATTGAATGCAGAATTCCAGAGAATAGCTAGAAGAGATAAGAATGCCTTCTTAAATGAACAGTGCAAAGAAATAGAAAACGATAGAATAGGGAGGACCAGAGATCTGTTCAAGAAAATTGGAGATACGAAGGGAACATTTCATGCAAAGATGGGCATGATAAAGGACCAAAATGGTGGGGACCTAACAGAGGCAGAAGAGATTAAGAAGAGATGGCAAGATTACACAGAAGAACTATACAAGAAAGAGCTTAACGTCCCTGATAACCACGATGGGGTGGTCACTGACCTCGAGCCAGACATCCTGGAATGTGAAGTCAAATGGGCCTTAGGAAGTCTGAGCAACAACAAAGCTAGTGGAGGCGACAATATTCAAGCTGAGCTATTCAAAATCCTAAAAGACGATGCAGTTCAAGTGCTACACTCAATGTGCGAGCAAATTTGGAAACTCAACAGTGGCTACAGGATTGGAAAAGGTCAGTTTACTTTCCGATCCCAAAGAAGGACAATGCCAAAGAATGCTCAAACTACCGCAGCATTGCATTCATCTCACATGCTGGCAAAGTGATGCTCAAAATCCTACAAGCCAGGCTCCAGCAGTATGTGGACTGAGAACTACCAGAAGTACAGGCAGGATTTCGAAGAGGGAGAGGAACTAGAGATCAAACTGCCAACATACGCTGGATCATGGAGAAGGCTAGGGAGTTCCAGAAAAACATCTGCTTCATTGACTATGCTAAAGCCTTTGATTGTGTGGATCACAACAAAATGTGGCAAATTCTTAAAGAGATGGGGGTACCAGACAAAAGAAGAAGGGGACGGCAGAGGATGAGGTGGCTGGATGGAGTCACTGAGGCAGTTGGTGTGAGCTTGAGTGGACTCCGGGGGATGGTGGAGGACAGGAAGGCCTGGAGGAATGTTGTCCATGGGGTTGATGGGTCGGACACGACTTCACGACTAACAACAATTCAGTAAATTTGGGGTAGATATATTAAAAAGCAAAAATGTTGCATAAGAAAAAAAATCAAAAATCCATGTTGTACATCTTTATTAAGCCAACCACAGGATCACAAAACAATGTGCAAACTTTCAAAATCCCCAACTCTATTCTTCAGACATCACTTTGGTCAGTAGTTAAGGGTCTATGAAATTGCTTAGTTCCAATTTGTTTTTGTTGTCTCCTGCTGAAAAGTTCCCACATTGAAATACATCACAATACAGAATTTTATTGTTTGGGTTAAGCATTCAGTCTCTTGCACGTTTTGGAGTACACCGGCCAGAATCCCTTGTCATTGTGTGTACTGGCTGGGACTTACAGAAGGTGTAGTCTAGAAGATCTGCGGGACAGCATGTACCAACCTCTGTGCCCAATGGATTCATTACTTTCTGTATGATTAGTTTTCCAATAAATGCATACGAACAAAACCCCCCACAAAATCTGTTACGTGTGTGCTTGTGGATGGACAGCTGGGAGTACCTTGAATCGATTTACATAACTGGGTTCATTCACGGTTCTGCAGAAAGGATCACTGTTGGCACCACCTTTTTAGTGGCCCTGCATCCTAGGAATGAACACAGAATTTCTTATCTGGGGCTTGACAACTCGAAGTTGCCCCGATTCACCCACTCCAGAGTTCTAATCTTCGACTGTGACAAAGAGCCTCAAGGGGCAGATTTAGGATGCAGGCAAGTGGCTGGAAGAGCGGGAACATCCAGCTGACTGGACATGTCCCATCAACGCTGCAAGCCAGCGAGTTGCCCTGTCTGCTGCCGTGGGATACAGAATGTCCTTCTGCACTGAAAGGGCTGGAATCCATGTTGGGGAAGCTTTGGGGGTCACACTGTGGAGGGCCGATGCGCCAAGAATAGCAGCGTGTTTTAGCTTAGCACTTCCTATCCGAGGCATTCCTACCCGTCCGGACAGAAGTCGTGCCAGCATGGGCCAGAGGTGGGCCCACTTGTGAGGAGCCGGGGCAGCACTGAGAGGGATGAGTCAGGTCAATCTGTCCCCCCAAGGAGTGCCCAGGGCCCGGTCCCACTACTGCGCACTCCTGGGCAAGGCAGGCGATTGTATGGCAGCATCTCAGCTGCACAGGTGCTTGGCTGATGTGGAACACCTGGCTAAGGGGTCACCAACCAGCTGCCGTGTCGTGTCAAGGCACCCCCACAAAGTGGGTGACGGGGGCATGACCAGCCAGGACACATCCTTACGGGAAGGCGAGCACCAGACCAGGAAGCAGGCAGGAGCACATGCACAAGGGAAGCGTATACGTGCCCGCACGTCCTGCAGCACACGCACATTTACAGCTAGGGTAGCAGAGTCAGCCAAGCACGGGAACGCAAGGCAGGGGTCTGCAACGCCCGTCGGAGGCGGCCGCAAAGTCTGGCATGCCAGCAGCAGCAGGAAGGGGCCCCTGGGAGCGCCAGGTGGGACTCTCGCAGCTCTGGCGGGACGCAGAGCTCGCCAGGAGCACCGCCCCTGCAGGGTCTTTGCCTGGCGGGGGAGGCTGGCACACCTGCCGCATCTGGATGACGCTGAGCAGGGGAAAGCTGGCCAGCAAGCCCCTTTGCCGTGAAGGAGTTCTGCTGATGAATTCTGCTGACACAGACGGTGTGGAATCCTATCTATCCCCCAGTAGGTTCAGTGCCATGAGCACCAGGGATCGCCCCCATAAAGTGCAGAAGAAAAGCTGCAAAGGATAAGGAGCCCCGCTGACACTGGACTCCTGAGAACTGGGTTTTATCCTGCGGACTAGGATCTCCAGGGAGGGAGGGAGGCAGGTGATGGAGAGGAGGAGCAGGGACAGATGGGAAAGGGTCAGTATCCGAGAGCATAACGGCCAATCAGTGGTCGAGAAGCGACCGTGTAAACCCCGCCCCCCCACTAAACACTTGGGTAGGGTCATTCCCACTGGGAAGCCACCTCTGTTCTTACGGGCAAGGATGACTTATATTGGTAACTTTCATTTGCATGACGCACGCGATCGCACCTTTCCTTCGCATTGGTCACGTGTAAGTGTTTCAGTGCCTTTTGGTCCGTGAACGCAATGAAAGGCCGCCTGGGTGTTGCATCCATTCACATAATAGCTGTGCTGTTTGGTTCTAAGAGCGAAGGCTGAGCCCTGAGCCAGCGTCGTCGCTGTTAGGGGCTCGTCTGCCATAGAGAATTCTCGGCAACAAAGACAGCAAGCGGGTGTTGCCCAGCCCGTGAAGGCACTCCTGAGCACTCCAAAAAAGTGAAAGAGGAATTCTGCTTAAAAACCTAGAGGATTAGCAGGCACTTTGCAAGCACCGCGCAGCCTGCCCTGATCTAGATCCATTTCGATCCAACATCAGGTCTGGCCGTGGGCAGAGACGGGTTCCATCATCTCTGCCTGGATATTCAGACCGCAGCCGTGACCTGGCCCAGCCTGCCTCGCCTCAGCGGGGACTGGTGTGTCAATGGCACCTGGTCCTTTAAAGTGGATTAATGTAGGGTCCTGTTTCAACAGGCAATCTGTTCAGAGTGTGCTTACAGGCACAGTTGCATCGTTTCAATGTCTGTTCCATTGAGCCGCGATGCCCCTGAAAGCCGACGCTCCCTTCCCTCCCTCCTGCTGGGCCTTGCAAGCAACACTTGAAGCAGAAAGAAGATTCCGCCTGGGGGAAAAGCCTTTAAGACGAATCAAGAGTTCACATCAGCGAAGCCCTGGCAAGACAGCTGCGTCACTGGCGTGCAGCCCTCATGCTGGGGCTCCAGCAGCATCAGTATTCCCCTTCGTGCCTTACTTTGTGAATAAGGTACAAAAGCCTTTCCCAGCCTGCGTCCCATCAGATTTGTCAGACTATGGCTCCCACCTACCACAAGCCAAAATGCTTAGGCTTTAACTGGCTGCAGACGAGCCCATCTGGCCAGGGAAGGCCACACCGCAGATGCAGCACACCAGAAGAAAGGATCTGAACTGCACCTGGCTAGAGCCCAGGAAGTAGCACCAACTTGAAACGGAACGTGAAACACACGGGCCCACGGGCTGGGCCGAATGCAGTGGGACCAAGTGGCAGAGGCCGATGCCCCCCGCAGAGTCAAAGCCCTGCCAGGAAAGGGGTCTCCACTCCGCACCTGGATTCTGACAACCTGCCAGAATGCTACAGAGGTGTGGAGGAGGAGGCGGCCTTCTCCTGTGGTTTGTCCATGCTGAGGAAATGCCCACTGAAACATTCCAAAACTCCACTCCCAGTGCACCTGTATTCCTCGCACAAGGTGTCTTTCAATGCCCAGTTCTCAGGCAAAAGACCAAGGGAAGCGCCCATCTGGATGACAGCGCACCCTTTCCCGAACAGCGTCATGTAATGGTGACGTCCACAACCCAGTCTGAAGCAGCAGCTCCTTGCAGCAACTCGGGTTGGCTCTCAAGCTCCTGCTGGGTGGAGGCCTCCCACATCAGTAAGGCTGTGGCAGAAGGGCCCTGTGGCCAAACTCCACGGCCTGCCGTTGTGCCACGAGCAGCCCAGATAGATCCACTTGCACGAGGTGAGCCGAAGAGGAGTCTTTGTCTGGGATCTGCTCCCAAAGGTAAAGAGGATTCGTTTGTGTTCACATATGTCAGTTCGCCTGTGCAGACCAGATGGCTATGTCAGACTGGAAAGCAAGACTGTGCGGTCCAAGTCTAGCGAAAGAAAACGGGAACGGCACACTTGGAAGACGCACGGAGGTCCTGGGCTCGGGTCGAGGGTTCCATGCAGCTTCCCTTTCATTCCATCGAAGGGGGAAAGAGGTCCCCTGAGGACAGAGCTGGAATGATCACTTCATGAGGTCCACAAAGACTGCATTGGCAGTCGTCTGTCCGAAGATGAATGCCCCCAGGACAACCATGAAGACGCCGTAGCAGACCATGGTCCACCAGCTGTGGAGACAGGAGGAGAGAGCCCCCCGCAAGGGCAGCCCGGGGAATTGTGTGTCCCTTGGGGCCTGCTCAGCCCACACAGCCCGACGGGCCCCAGGGAAAGCTGGCCTCTTACCTGGCTGGCCTGGCCTCCTGGATTTCGGAGAGCTTGGTGTGGATGAGGCACAGCCCTGGTAAGAGAGGAGCGCAGGGAGCTGCTCAGGCAGAGTTCAGCACTGTGAAGCGCTCACAAAACCCACAGAAGCGCAGCAAATGCGCGCCTGCCCTTCCCAGCCTGGTGTGCTCCAGAAGCCCTGTACTCCAACCCCCAGCATCCCCAACCAGCCATACTCCCATCTGGAGGGCACTGGCTGGGGAGTGTCAAGGCAAGGACGCATTAAGCTCCTCGGAGACGAGGGGCCGCCACTGAGGTGACTGCCATTGTGAGGACCCCGTTGCATGGACCCCCCCCATGGCTCGTTCCCCTCCCAAGAGCCACATGGCAAGCCGAACACCTGGGACAGCCGTGCTTTGGCCGGACCGGTGCTCTGATCTGTTGGGAGCAGGCACCCAGGAGGAAAACCCTCCAGAGTGGGTGACTCAGCAAAGGACCGCACCACAGGGAACCCAAGGGGAGCCCCTACCTGGGAAGACGAAGATGAAGCAGGCCGCCAGCCCCCCGATGACAGAGATGACCTTGCCGATGTCAGGGATGAAGAGGGCCAGGAGCAGGGTGAGCAGGAACCAGCTGACAGTCTGGAGGAGGCGTCGGCGCCTCTCCCGCACGACGTCCTCCTCCACTGCCTCGCCCTTGTAGCGCAGCCAGAGGCCTTCCAGGACGGCCCTGGGCAGAGAGCAGCGTGCAAGGGGCTGCCCACACAGCTCCCCGAGTGGCCCCACAGCCTGCCTGGGCTGCGGGACGGTCGCCAGGGGGCGCCCGCGTGCAGGCCCCTCCCCACCCCCTGCCCCTCACCTGCCGCAGAAGTGCAGGATCGGGTAGGATGTCAGCACACAGACGATGATGAAGGCCCGGGCGATGGCAACCGGGACATCCGTGGAAGGGTAGGACATGAGCACGTCCTGCTCCACCCTGGACCCGAAGGTCAGGAAGCCGCAGACGCCTGGCAGCAAACAGAGCAGAAGGGTTCCCCACGGCCCAGCGGGATCCTGGTCCCCCCGAGGGGCCAAGCACAGAGGGGCCCTCTTCCCTGAGCCCCTCCTTCAGCTCCGCCCAGCCCGGATCCAGGCGGAAGGGACCAGTGCCTGGCGGGAAGGGGCGAGCGCTGTGCTTCGGGCGGGGGGGCTCGCTCCACACCTGTGCCCGTGTAGACAAAGAGCGCAATGACCATGGCTGCCGTCACGACCGCTCCCCAGGACTTCACCTCCGGCCGCTTCATGCTGTTGAAGACGGGCACGCTGCTGACGTGGCACTGCCAGGGAGGGAGGGAGGGAGGGGAGAGGTGTGGGAGCAGTCATGGGCACAGAAAGATGCCAGCCGCCTGGTAACAAAGGACGCATCGGCACAACTCCCTTCCAGCAAATGGCCAGTCGATCAGCCTTCCCCAGCCAGACGTGCTGGGCCACCTATGGTGGGCGTCAGCAACTAGCACACCTGGGGGGGTGGGGGAGGCTGCGGGAGCCCCTCGCCCCTTCTGCTTTCCCTTTGGAATAGCTTGCTTTCCTCATTCAGCAGTTTGCAGCCAGAATGCAAAGAGTTCCCTGGGATATCAGTCTGCAAAGAGGTGGTGGCAAAGCCCTTAACCCAGCGGAGGGGAAATCGCCAGCTCTGCCCGGGCCTGTATTTCACAAACATCACCCAAATTATGTTCCAGCCACAGTTGGGCACCTTGTTCTTTCTGAACCCGGTTTCCACATGAACTTCCTTCCAGGCCTGCTGAATTAATCAAGAAAGAGCTGCTCACTTGCCAGAGTTTCTCGTGGCCTCATCCCTCGGACCCATCTAGCTCTCGCCGGCCTAGAAGGGCCAGCGTGGCGTTGAGCAAAGAGTGCGAGACCGGGACTCAGGAGATCCGAGTCCCAGTCCCCACTCAGCCGCGGGGCTTGCTGGGTGGCCTTGGGCCAGCCACAGACTCTCAGCCCCGTCAACCTCACAGGGCTGTTGTTGCGAGGATCAGCCAGAGAAGAGGAGGAGAGTTCCGCAAGCTTCCTGGAGTTCCTTAACAGGAAAAAGGGTGGGCTATAAAGGCAATCAATACATTTGTACTCCACCTTTCTTGCAAGTAGCTGGAGTTTCAGGCAGGGTCTTTCCCAGCTTGTCTGGCAATCTAGGGGTGGAACGGGGCAGTTCTGCCCCTGCAGTCGCCTTCCCCAGCCGGTGCGCCCCAGGTGGGTTGGACAACCCATAGTGGGACTGTGGAGATCGCAGTCCAACAAGGTCACCAGACTCCCTGGCTTCTCCAGGAGCAGCTGGGAAAGAACCTACCAGGGACCCTGGAGAGCTGCTGCCGGTCTGTGCTGACAGTACTGGGGTGGGTGGAGAAGGGCTCTGCAGCTCCCCAAGTGCTCCTCCTGCCCCTCTGCAGTGTCAGCAAGATCCCCGTTGCATCTCCCACACAACGACGTCCTGACTCAGCCGCCAGTTCCTTCCCCAAATCCGTTCTCAGGAAGTGGTCTGGTCACGTGAGGGATTGTGAAGCCGCAAACGTGTGCAGAAATCACAGCTCCAAACCAGCCACTCGGGCTCCGGCATGGCATGCCATGGCGTGGCGTGGTTGGGACGGGAAGCGCCAGGAGGGAGCTGAAGCAGCCACCCGGGAGCACGGGGGGCACCGGGCGGGGAGTCCAATGCAGCCTCCCCCAACCTGCCATGCAGTTCAGCAACACCTGCAGGTTCGTGCTTTCCCCACGACTGTCGCACTGCACCCCGACATTAACCCCGCTGTCCCCAAACTGGTGCCCCCAAGGCGCAGTGGCCAGCAACACCCATCTGCCCAGCCGGCAGGGCATGTCGCAGAAGGCCAAACAGACCCATCTTCCAACTTCAAAAGGAACCGCACAGCGGAATCAACTAGGTCAGAAGACAGAGGCCGCTGCCCAACCCCCCATGCAGGTTGTACCTGGAAGCCAAAGCAGATGGTGGGCATAGCCTTGAAGACCAGCATCCATGAGGAGGGGCTGTGGGAGGAAGAGACCCCTGTTCAGAACACCACTGCAGGGGACAGAAACTCTGCCCACACCTGGCCCAGGTGAGGCCCCCCAGGTGGCCTCCATCCTCCCCCAGCCAGTGGTTTGGTGGCTTTTGTAGCACCCTCCCCTTCCAGAAGGCTGAACTGGGGGGCCTCAGGAAGCCCCTGGAAGGAAGGAAGAGCATTAGCCTGTGCAACAATGGCACGGGGGGCATCAGATTCTGCCCACCCCCAAAATGTCCCCTGGGAACCTCCCCCAAAGCCCAGTTCGGCCTCTGTCTGGAAAGGGTTTGGCACCCCAGCCCAGTGAGCGCTTATTTTGAATTTGGAAACTCCCCAACAGTGGCAAGTCACTTAGATGGGACGCAGCTCAATCTGGGGCCAAGACCAGTGCCGGAGCAGCTCTTTCCGCATCTGGCTGTGAGGACACGGTGCATGGGGGCTGCCCCCACTCCCCGCGCGCATTCTCCCAGAGGCCCCTCTTTCGACGGGGTGCCCACTGCTGCATACCTGGCCGGCACGTCCCCTGGAGTGATCTCTCTATCTGGCCAGATGTATTTGAGGATGATGATGGCTGTGACATACCACGTCCCGACCACGCTCAGGCCGCTGCGGAAAAGAGGGGCGTCTTGACCCAGGCAAGTGCTAACCAACAGGGAAGCGGAACGGTGGGGTCCATCTGGGGGCCAACCCAAACGCGCATGCAGTCAGCTGAGGGGGGCCCTCGGCAGACACCGACCGGGCCTGCGGACTGCCTGATGCAGAGCCCCCAGCCGGCCTTCCAGACGTTCTGGAGGACGACTGCCCCCATTCGCCGGCCAGCACAGGAGAGGTGCAGGCCCGGCTGGCGCCGCCCCCTTCACCCGCGGGGCCGGCGAGGTGCCCACCGCGGCCGAGGCCCGCAGGGCTGCCCTGCTTTGGCCAAGGGTACCTGGCATACTTCTGGAAGCCGATCTCCTTGGGAATCGACAGGGGAAGGATGAGCAGGAAGGCGGTGATGCTGATGGTGAACTTGCGGTCCGTGTACCAGGGGCTGCTAGCGGCCCCCGCAGAGTCCTTCACCAGGGCTGCGATGACTGCCAAGGAGAGAGGAGGAGGGGGTGGTCCGTGGCAGGGCCCAATCCGCTCAGGGAGTCCCTGCTGGTGGAAGGGAACCCAGCACCCAAGAATGCAGGGCCGGCGGCAGCTGCACAGAAAACTGTGTGCGTGAACTGGCACCTCTGCATCCAGGAAAAGCGCAGATGTTGCCAGAGGGCACAAGGGGGGGCTCTGTGCTACAGGGAGCCCCTCACGCAAAGTGAGGACATGCACTGCAGAGAGACACCCCGGCGCTGTGCAGCACGAGGCATGGGGCAGTCCTCACCAGCCCAGCAGACCAGAGCAGGAAGGTGCCGCTCGCTCCGGGAGCCGCACAGGGCCCTGCCTTCCAGGGGCAAACCGGAGGCGCATTCGGGCAGAAAGGGAGGACGCCCGGCCCGGGCTTTCCCATGCCATGGGGCCCTCACTCACTCTTGTCCTCCTGGTCGCCGATGATGATGAGGAAGGCGGTGCAGGTGCCAAAGGTGTAGACCGCGATGGCCACTTCGCACAGCACCCCGGCGACCTTGCCACACACGGCCCAGACCACCTCCTGGTAGGTCCGCTCGTTGCTGGCCTGGGAGCAGTAGGCCAGGATGACGAGGCCACCGATGATGAAGACCAGCATGCACTGCAGCGAGGGGCGGAGGGACATGGTCAGGGCAGCCCATGGAGGGAGAGGACCCCCCGAGCACCCCGGCAACAGGCAAGGACTGGCACGCAGCCAGGGGGAGGGCTGGCCCCCAGGGCTCTGCGTCTTCCGAACGGGGTGGCACTGGGCAGGCTACCCAGCTGGCAGGGACACCCCTCTCCCAGGCGACCGCCTGCTGCCACCACATGGGCCAGAGCAGCTGAGGAGCAATCCTGCACCTGCAGGGACACAAAAGAGGATCTCCTGGATTAAGCCCAAGGCTGAGCCCAGCTCCAACGGGCACCCTCCCGTCCCGCACTGGGGGGATCTTGCACACATCTGGAGGCAGCAGGCGGCTCCGCTGGCGGTGCAGCGCTCCTCTGCCTCTTTGCGAAGGGCAACGACGAGGCCTTTCCTTTGAGTGAGCAGGAGCTTTCCCCACCTGCAAAGGGTGTCTGGAGAGCGCGCAAGGCCCCCGCCCCAGCCGGCCGCAAGCCGTACTCCTGCCAGGCCAGGCAGAGGGCTCAGCAAGCCGCACATTACCAGGAGCAATCCTGCCCCGCCATCCCTGTCCGCATGGGGTGCTTCCCAAGCCCGCCCCACCCCGCCTTTCACCATCTGCAGCGCAATCCCGGCCGCGACACCACCAGCCATGCTGAAGGCTGCCGGGAAGTTGAGCAAGCCGGCTCCGAGGGCGGCGTTCACGACGATGAAGACGGCTCCCAGCGCCGAGGTGGCAGCCGGCCCACGATCCTCGTCCCTTTTGGGCCCGAGCTCCACACTGGGGCTCTGCAGCAGCCTGACCCGCTCGCCAGCATCTGTGCTCCAGTCCCAGTCGCCAGAGTTGGTCCCCACGTGGTCCTGAGTCATCTCCCCTGCCGGGAAGGGCTGCTCACCAATCCTTATCCAGCACACAAAGCGGCTCTCGGAGTCCCCGGGCTGCGCCGACGGGCAGGGGAGGGAGCAGCCCGCTAGAGCCGTGCCTGAGCAGCACCGCCCAGCATCCCCGCCCGGTCAGAGTCCGGCACTTGGCACTCCTGGCAGGAAGCAAAGGCAGAGGGGCGGCTCTGAGCAGGCCGGCCGGGAAGCCAGCCCACCAGCCCACCAGCCCACTTCTTGGGGTGCCGAGCGCACTGGTCCCCAGTTCTCACACACCATTTCTGCGTGGAGCCGCATGCCATCTTCAACATGACCAGCCTCCAGCCTACCTCTTGCCCGTCTCCCGTTTCCTCCTTGACTTAAGACCCCGTCGCCGCCTTTCCTTTCCTATGTCCCCCACTTTCCGAGCAGAGGCTCTTCCCTGGCCCTCCAGCCGCCCGCCGGCCCAACCCAGAGGCCTATCCTCAGCCCCTTTGCCAGGCAAGGAGCAGCCTTCAAGAAGGACTGCACTGCCCCTGTGCTGCAGGGCCGCTGCCGCTCCACAGCTGGGGAGCGCTGGTTTGCCTGCTGCTCCCCATGCGCTCAGCTCAGCGTGACAATCCAGCTTATTAAAAATGTGCCTTTGGCGCCAGGAGCAAGATCGGTCCGCAGCTGTTTCTGAGCAGAGTGTTCTGGATTTTCAAGGCATGAGGAAGTGAAACGGTGGCTGCAGGCAAGGAGATCCCTGCCCCGGGCATTTCAAGGGCTCTCCCCACTTCCTCACAGCACCTCATGCAACACACACGCGACATGGACCCCGCTGCACCCCACAGGCCCCTCTGGCTGGCTGCTCACGCCGGGCACCAGGACCCTAAGACCAGAAGCTGCTGCCTAGGGACAGCCTCCCCAGCGCCTGTTCTCCGGAGGTGCTGAACTGCAGCTCCCAGCCAGGGCAGCCACCCGGCCGGAGGCTGCGGTAAGAGGCGGGACACAGCGCCGAGGCCCTTGTAGGCTCTCTCTCCGGGCTGCTTCCAGATTCCAAGAACAGACACGAAAACGCACCCGGCATTCTCGGGGCTCTCTACTTTGCTCTGCCCCAGCGGAAAGAAGCCCCACTTCGCCAGCTCTCCTCCGGCTGCAATGGACTACTCTGCCCACCACCCCGTTCGGGGATGCTGGGAGCTGCCCTCCTCTCTGGAAGGAGCCAGGCCAGGGCAGGCTGCGCTTCGGCGCTGGAGATGGTGCCCCGCCGCAGCGGAAAAGCCTCGGCGGGCGGCTCGGGAGCGCGTGGCCTCCCCGGCGGGATCCGCGCGCGACAGGGGCGCCACCCGGCAGGGCCGCAGCCGGAGGAGGCCGCCGCCGCCGCCGCCCGCAAGCCCCGGCCAGAAGCAGCTGCCTGCACGCCCAGGCCGCGCCGCGCTCAGCCAGCGACGGCGGTGGGGAGGCGGGCCGAGCGGCCGCGCCGCCGGGAGCGCGAAAGGCTGGGCGCGGGAGCGCCAGCATCGCCGGCCGGGGAGGGAGGCTGCCGCGCAGCTGCTGCTTGCCGCGATCGCTCGGCCTCCCTGGGCTCGGCTGGCCCGGGAGGCAGCCCACCGGACGGGCAGCCCCGCGGACGCGCCCTTCGGGCCGGCGCTTTGCTCGCAGGCACCCGCACCGCGCCGCGCCCACCCCAGGCTACCTGCCGCGGTCCGCACCGGCCTGCTCCGGGACCGCCTCGGCGCCGCAGATCAGCTGCTGCCACTCACGCGGCGGAGGAGCCCCGCCCCCCCGTGGCATGCCGGGAGACGTAGTCCCGGCTGCGAGCGCGGCGGCGGCCCGGGCGGGCGATGCGCCCTCGGGTGGCCGCAGGTTGCGGTGCAGGCGAGGATGCGGCGCCCGGGCGGGCCCCGTCGCCGAGGCAGGGAGGGAGCGCTGAGCCCGCCCGCCAGCCAGCCAGCCAGCCCGTGCGCTACCCTGCCTCTCCAGACGGCCGAAAGCTCGTGGACCGTTCCCAGCACTCCGCAAGAAGCGCAAACCTCACCACCCCCCGTGCCAGGCTCCCGAGTTGTAATAGCTGGGTGCACCGCGTGACGCCATGAGCTGGAGCAGCTCCAGCAGCCCACTCCAAGACGGGGCCCTTGAGGCAGCTGTCCCAAGCGCCGCCTTATCTGTGCCGTGCCCACGAGCAGCTTTAACCAGTCACTGGGCCTCGGTGGGGAGCACCAGCCGAAGTTGGGGGCTGCCCCTGAGATGGCCCCTTTTTGAGCGCTCGGAGGAAACTCGAGATGTTTGCCGCCACATCTGAACAGCCTATGCCAGGAGCTCCACCAACAGCTGCAGTCCTGCACAGTGAGGCCGTGCAGATGCAAGCCAGCACTCTCAATTGGGCTCGGAGCATTCAGGCAGCCAATGCCCACACTCTGGAATTGCAGGCGGTCTTCCTGGGCCCCGACATTCCCTTCACCTCCTCTGCTGTCAGCAGCTTAAGTCACAGAGCACTTTATGCACTTACCCCAACTCACTCCTCTCTCCAGCAGGGTTGTGAGCAGAGTAAAGGAGAGGGTTACCAGCACACAAAGATTCTCTGAAGGAATCGGGGAATCCGGTTTTCCAGGCCTGCAAGGTGCAAGCGCACCCATTCTCTGGCTTGCCTGTGAAGCGAGCTTCATCGAGTTTTGTCTGCTGGGCAGTGCTGCAATTTTTGTGTAAGGTCCCTTGGTACCCATTCTTTCTTTTTCATGTTGCTTTCCCCCCACTTACGTTATAAAAATACAGGAAAGACGTGCGGTCAGCCAAAGGGTGTTGGTCCCAATGGCCTTCATGGTTCCCTCCAACTCCACTTTCTATGGGAAGGAACAGCGGGAGCAGGCAGGCCAGCGGTCTTTGCTGCCACGCGCACCATGTGTTCCAGGAGCAGGGCTGAACAGCCCTTTTATTGCCTGGGCTGGAGAATCTGGGAGGAAAGCAAGGCTCCCCGTGAGGCGACACAGGCGCTGCACTCTGGGCCCCCGATGAGCAGTTGCTTTAAGGACCAGCCTTGCAGTATCTGCACACGGCAGGAATCACCGACTGTCCAGTGCCCGACACTCCCACACACGCCGTCTCCACGGTCACCCGGTCACTGTGAAGCCATGAACGAGCGCCTCGGGCACGTGGCATTCAGACACACAGCAGCTTTATTCAGAACAGAGGCTGCACGAAGGCCAGCATGATTTATACTGAATGGCAGAAGATGCCTTGGAAAGAGGATGAAGACAGTGGCCAAACACCAAGAAGCAGTCTACAACCACAGCGCAGAAAGCCAGGTGCATCCCCTACCTCTCCTCTCAGCGACCGTGTGCAGTTCAGGGGGACGAGGGGCTTGGCTGGCCGGCCTCGATGGAAGAGGCCGCCACCCCTGGCTGGCTGAACATGGCTCCTCTCCCAGGCCACTGGCTGAAGCTGACAGACTCCCCTGCCCTGCCCTCCCCCTCAGAAGCAGCTCTGCAACTTTCTTGGCCCACTGAATGCAAAAGCATTGATGTGTGAGCTGAGCCCGCCATCACGCACGCTGTGGGGCAGCTGCCAGCTCACCCCCACCTGGTGCGTCTGCCTGGCACTCAGCTGATGGGCAGGTGTCTGCAGATGCGGCTTCCAGACAGGCAGAAGTTGAACAAGACAGAAGAGGCTGAAGATCTTTGAAAAGCTCAGTGGCCCCTCGGCCACAAGCGCAGCAAGGCTGGGGGTGGGCAGCAAGCTGGGCATGTGGCAACACCTGCCTCTCGGAGGAAGAAATGGGGCCTGTGAGCCTACGAAATGATGCAGGTTTACATTGCCTGTGACCAAAGATGAGCTTAGCAGCATGCCACAAATGTGCCAGACCGCCACTCCCAGCTGGGAGGACCATGCCAGCTGGGAATGATGGGAACTGCAGTCCAACAGAAAAGGTTGGGGCAGGCTGAAGGCTCCCTCCCTCTTGAAAGACTTTCACACTCTTCAACTACCTTCACCTGCCTTTGCTTTAACAACTTACAGGCAGAGAAGCTCAGTAGCTTCACACACACACCGAGAAAAGTTTCTCAGGCCTGTACTAAGAAAAGACTTTCCTAAAAGCAAAGTGGGCACTCCCACCTGCTCCCTAAAGGTGTGTGCGCAGACTGGACTCTTGCCCCCTTGTTAGGAAGGTGTTTCTGTCCGACCTAATCCATCCATGGCAAGGATGTTCCATTTCTGCGAACTTTTCCATAAGGGCAGAGAAGACATCTGAGGGCACCAGACTAGGAAGCACAGAGGTTGCGTCTAAAGCATTCTGAAGGCAGAGGAGAGGGAGAGAGGCAGCAGCCGCCATGTTTCCATGATGAACTGGAGACCTGGTTTGATTTTCAGATTACAGAGCATCACAGGAGAAAGGATTCTAAATTAAAAATTCAAGCAAGTAAGACTTCGTTTGGTGACCTTTTCCCATCAAAAATGCCAGACAGCAGCTCTTATCTGCCTCTTACTTGGTACTAAGCAAAATGCTTGGGTCTGCATTATCGTTTGCCCATGGAACAAACTTTGGCAAGGAGAAGAGAGATCTAGGTTCCCGTTGTGCAGTTCAAGTCACCAGAGGCACCATCCAGGGACTTGATGCTCATTTAAAGCCAGCTGATTTAAAATGGCATTTTTAACACTAGAAAAAGCAAGAGGCCAAGAGCGCCTTGCTAGCCACCCCCACTGGAAAGAAATGCTGGGAGAACGGGGCAGGGGGACCCTCGGGGAAGAAGCCTTGGGGAGGGAGGCCGCAGCACTGGGGAGGGGCGCTGAGCACCCTAGGCTCAGCTTACTCTCTGGGCAGGAGCAGCGTCTTCCTCGCCAAACAATCATCTTTTGGCCCCACCACCACCCCGCAAAACATTCACCGCACCCTGCCGCATCTGCCCTCGTTCTACCACCACCTCTCTCTAAAAAAGGAAAGAAAGAAGCCAAGCATGAAAGGTTCCACTTTGGGTTAACTTGCACATGGGAATTTTAACTCATTTCAACTACTCTGCCTGGAGCCTGGCGGCACTGGCAGGAGCAGCACTGGGTAGGCAGGACTGCTGAACGGTGTTGGGGGGGGTGCTGCGGAGGGATGTGCTCCACCTGCTGCTGCCGCCGCCTCCTGCGTGCCCTGCCGGCCAAGCCGAAGTGCCCAAGAACACCAAAGGGAGCCATCCGCTCCGCCCAGTTCTGCCCCGGATCTACTTGGAGACTTGGTGAATGGCGTGGGCCAGGTAGGCGACGTTGCCAGACGTGACTCCCGCGACGGAGATGCGCCCATCCTTGGTCATGTAGATGGAAAACTCCTTGGTGAGCCGCTCCACCTGGAAGGCAAAGCGCAGCAGAGCGACGAGGTGGGCCAGGGAGTGGGCTCGGCACACGGCTGCAGCGGCTCCCCAGAGCGGAACTGCAGGCCACCTCTGCCAGCAAACAGCAGCCGGGCAGCCGCTCAGCCCGATGCTGCCACATCTCGCCTGGAGAACCGCAGCCATCTTTCCCACTCAGACTCGAGCTCAGCAGCATCTGTGCCGGCCCACAGGGTTCTTCTCCCCACTCCCTTCGGGGGTGGACCAGCACCATCCGGACTCCGTGGGGCAGGCAAGGCTATGCTCCCGCTGCTGCCCGGAGCCACCCATGGGCCCCATGGGGATCAGAGCCGGCCCCGGAGTCCCAGTCCCATGGCGCAGCGATCTGCACGGGATGTCCAAGCACCCCGCTTCCACCCGCTGCGGCTGGCAAGGCTCCTTCCCGGCTTACCTGCTCTGGCTTGAGCCCCGTGAAGCAGAACATGCCGATCTGGTCGGTAATGTGCTGCCAGTTGTGGGAGGAGCCCTCCTTTTTCAGGTTCGCCACCAGCTGGGTGCGCATGCCGATGATGCGGTCAGCCATCCCCTTGACCTCTGCCAGCCTGTGCCAGGTGAGCACATGGACCCAGGTGAGCAATAGAGAAAGAGGACACATGAGCGCTCTCCCGTCGGGCACCCTCCGGATGTCTCAGACTACAACTCCTATCAGCCCTGGCCAGCATGAGCCAACATGCACAGAAGCCACCAGGCCGGAGCCCCAGCGTCTGTCCCGCCTGAGAAGCCAGAATCGGGCTGCACTGCCAGGGAAACTGCCCACAGGAGACCCCGAGGGCTCTCCCAAGGGAGCTGCTTGACTGCGCATGTGCCACAGGCCAGCACCAAGGGAAGAATTTGCTTCCCAGCGCTCCCTTGCCTGTCACCACAAGGGAGCACTTCCCCCCGTCAAAGCGCAGCAGAGTGGAACTGGAGAAGCCCACCCTCAGCAAGAGGCTGGAGCAGCAGGGATGCTGCTGGGCCTCGGGGGCCGTCTTGCCGGGGGCCTCTCAACTGAGCCCCAGCCCCCTCTGCTAAGACAGCGTGGCTCGCCCTGCAACGAAAGCCCCGCACCCTGAGCTGGCGAAGCGGAACCAGCACCGGGCCAAGCAGGGCTGCTGCTCTTGGCGCCAGCGCTGGAACCACACAGGGACGAGGCTGAGCAGAACGGCGAGGCCCAGGATAGCCCCGTGGCCCAAAGGCGTCACCCCCTTCTGCTCACGGCACAAGACGAACGCCGTTAGATCGCCAACGCTACGTTACGAACTGCAGAAACGCTGCCCGGGCAGGCTTCTCGGGAGGGTTTACCATTCCTTCCGCAGCTCAGGGCTATTCAGGATGGTGGAGGCAATCCGAGCCCCGTTGATGGGCGGGTTGGAGTACATGGGGCGGATCAGGATCTTCAGCTGGGACTCCACCCTCTTGGCCTCCTCCGCATCCTTGCAGACGACTGTGAAGGCTCCCACGCGCTCCCCTGGAAAGCAAAGGCCGAGCGTCGAGGCGGCCTCTCACGACGCGCCCAGCCACTGTTCCTGTGCTGAGCAGGCCCTCCCGACACCCCCATCCTTTCGGGATCCTGGCTCAGCGCCCTGCTCCCGGCCAGCCTTCCCTCCCACGGTGCCTTGTTGAGCTGAAAGAAGAGCCTGGAGCCCCGCTGGGCAGAGACCGGCTTGGCTTTCTCCCAGCTGGTGCCCTCGAGCGTGCTGGGGGAACTGCCAGATTGCATGGCCAGCTTTGCTCTCTTTCCAGCAAGGAACAAAACTATTTCTCCTTGCCCCACCCTTTGAACATTTTACAACTTGAAGTTTAATGTATTTTTAACCAGACTGGATCTTGGTGTTTGTTTTGCTGTTTGTTTCCATTGGCCCCTGGTGTGCAATAGAATGTGTTTATTTATAATATTTATATGCCGTCCTTTCGCCAAGCCTCAGGACGGCTTACATAGTACTGGTCTTTTGCTGGATTTGCATCCCTGCGTTAAGGCTGGGCGCAGCAGCCCGGGATCCCCCGTGGAGGAGGGGGAGTGATCCATCTGAGCAGCAGAGGGACAGCCCAGCTGCGCATCTTCAAAGGCACGCCGTGCAGGGGCATGGAGGGGCCCACGCACCAGCCACAGGCCCGACCTGCTCCTCCTCGCTGGGAAGGCACCCACTGGGGGAGGGGCCTTTCCCAAATGGGACCGGGGCAGAGAACTGGCTCCTCCTGTTCTGTTTTCAGCAAGCCACAAGGCCAGGCACGTCCTCTTCAAGGCCCATACAGGCCCTCTTGCCTGGCGGAAAGCGGCAGCCCGTGCGGGAACCTGCCGTGCCCGAGCCCCCTCCTGCTCCCGCCAAGACGGCACGCGCACCCCGTCCCGGCACTCACCATACAGGCCCATGTTCTTGGCATAGGACTGGCAGAGCACGACGTCGATGCCCTGCTCGATGAAGTGGCGCACGGCCCAAGCATCTCGGTTGATGTCTCCGCTGGCAAAGCCTTGGTAAGCCATGTCGAAAAAGGCAAAGAGGCTCTTTTTCTGGAAGAAGACAGAGGCCGGCCTTTAAAGGCATCGGCACCGCCGCCAGCCCAAGCGCAGGGCCCGGCTGGGAGCCACTCGCATCCCGAGGCGGCAGGACATGGCCCAGGTCCCCGGAGCACTGTGAGGCCCTGCCGCCTGCGGGTTTCCGTGGGCACCGCGGGCTCTGCAGCCACCACAGGGGCTCCTGAGGGCCGCATGGCTGGAGTCCACTGCAGGTTCCCCAGCGAGAGCAAGCCTGCTCACTGCGCAGCCGCTGGAAACACCCAGCTCTGCTCTGGGAATGCGCCGGTGCTGGGAGCTGAGCTCAGCGCAGGTGCACTGGCCAGAGGTCGCCCAGTGCCCCCCTTGCAGCTGCTCCATGTATAGTTAACTGGAACCCACAAAACGTAAATGCACCTTCCCCAGCTGGGTGCCCCCAGATACGTTGGGACTACAACTGCCAGAGCCCCCCAGCTAGTCGGGAGGGCGCCCAGCTGGGAAAAGCAGGCTCTGGCCTGCAGGCTGCCGAGCAAGTGCTCGGGGCACAGCTCCAAAGCCCCAGGCCGAGTCCGAGGAGCTCCAGCTGCAGCACGCTGGCAACACCGGAGGGGAAGGCTCGAGTGGCAGGTGCCCTCATCCAGGTGAGCTGCGGACGGGAGGCAGCCCCGTCACCGGCCAGCGAGTCCGACACGGCCCGGTGCCCGGACTCCGACTGCCCAAAGATGAGACGCAGGGCAAGTGGCAGGGAGCACCGCCCCGCCAAGAGCTCCCGCCGGGCCCTGGGCCACTGCAGCGTCGGGACAGACGTCCAGGTGGCACCAGCGCTGCAGCCCAGGCAAGGCGGGAGCGGCGCCTGCACGCACCGACACGGACGCAGCTGGCGTGCAGCGAGCCGGGCGGCTGTCAGTCACCGAGGGCGGGAGCGCATTGCCTGTTGGAAGCACAGTGGACTGAATGGGGAAAGCGGCACTCTGCACGTGTAGCCAAGGTTTCGGAAAATAAGATCGGGGAAGGTGTTTGCGTGCGCGCGCGCACACATACGGAGCAGCCGCTCCTTGCAGCTGGAGGAGGCAGGGGACGGGCGGGTGGAAGGGCCAGGGCAGGGCAGCCAGAAGGCCCGCCGGGAGAAGCCCTTCGGCGCCCCCTGCTGGCACCGCTCCTCACCTTCACCAGGGCCGCCAGCTCCTTCCACTGCTCTGGGCGAGGGTCCACTCCGGTTGGGTTGTGAGCGCACGCGTGGAAGAGAACAACGCTCTTTTCGGGAATTTTCTGCAAAAGGCGATGGGGAGAAAGAGGTGGGGCACAGACAGGGAAGGATCTGCCAGGGCTCTCCTCGAGTGCTCGGCCCCACGCGGAGTGGGAGTGGCCGGCCGGCCGGGCGGGCAGCACCTCGCAAGAACTCTTCACACGCGTAATGAAGTGGGCCTCCGCACGCACGCCCCGGCTTGCACAGTTCTGGCCAGGCCCACGTCTGTTACGGGTGACTACGGGCACACAGCTGTGGGGCGCCGAGGGGGTCGGCGCAGGCCAGGCGGTGTCGGGCGTGCGCACCGATGAGCTTCCCAGGCACACGCGAGAAACAGTCTGCTGTGGCCGGACTGACAGCTCAGACTGAGGATGATGAAGGGCTGGCTGCACCAGACGAGGCTCAGAGCTTGCACTCCGCTAGCGAAATTGTTGTTGTAGGACAGGCCAGCACCTGAGACCGCCCCCACCCCCCGCCGCCCCGCAGTACCAGTCCGAGCCTGCTCTGGACGAAAGTAGCTCAAGAACTCCCACGAGGCCCCACTGCCCTCCCGCCTGCGGCAATGGGGCAGACGAAAGGTGGGAGGAGGCAGATTTGGGATGGGGGTGTTCCTCCTGAAGACGCGGACCCGAGGGCCCACCAGCTCAGCCACAGGCTGGACCAAGCAGGGGCTCAGTGCAGAACGCAGTGCCCCTCCTTCCAGAGACAGGACCCAAGGGTCTTAAGCAAAACTTTGGGTGAAGGGGGCAGAAAGGGGTCAACACAGCCCCTTGTGTACGCTCAGAGGCTTGTGAATGCTTAGTTTTCTGCGCAGAATAAAGACTCTTACAAGAAGTGCCAGAGAGACTGTCTTGCTTGGCAGGGGATGCCTCATGGATCAGAGGCTGCAAAGCACCATCTGTCCTGCCCTTGCTTGGGGCTGTGCCCAGCCTTGCACGGGGACCATCTTGGCCCTCTCATTCCTAGCTCCCTGCTTGAGCGAACCACCCCCGAAACCGCAGGGCGTGCGCTTCCCCGTTTGCTCCCTCTCAGGTGTCAACTTACGGAAATGTCCTCCAAGGCTCCTGTGAAGTCAAAGCCGCACGTTTTGGGGTCGTAGTACCGATAGCTTTGCAGCTGCATCCCTGCGTCTCTGAAGATGGGAGTGTGATTCCCCCACGAGGGTTTGGGGAGGTACACATCACGGCTCGGCTTGAAGAACCGTTGCTATTCCAAGGACAGGAGACGGCATAACTGAGCAATCCCAAAGATGATTTAAGGGACCACCCCCACAGAAAAGCTCTACCACAAACGGCTTTTCTTTCTGAAGCTGGCATTCGAACAGCACTCACCAAGAAGTTGGCGCCGACTCGCAATGAACCCGTTCCAGAAATTGTCTGAACGGTGACATACTGGAAGGGCAAAGAACAGCGATGTGAGATACCCCAGGGTCTCTCTCCACACCACGAGCAGCTGTGGACCGTGTCTCCCCTCACGTGCTTTCTCACCAAGCTAAGCCACCCCAACATGGCCAAAGGGTGGGATGTGACAGCTGTTGCCGTCCACCCTCTCCGGCAGGGCAGGGGAGAGGCGGGTCGGGCACACGCAACACGGTCTGTACCTGCACCCAGCTTAGTTTTGCTACCATTTTTACCCTGCCTTTCAGCAAGAAGCCTCCTCTGGAAGCTTAGAGTCCAGAAATGGGGCAGCCCCTGCCCTCAGGTGTGGCCTCCCCAGACAGAACGCCAAAGAGGAGGGGCATTGGGTAGGGCAAGTTCTGGCACTAGGTTCACTTGATGCAGCAGCGTTCAGCCGCTCAGACCCTTCACCAAGAACCGAACGAAAGAGAAGTGAGCAAGCTTCTCGGCTGCTGTGAAGGCAACACCTCACAGCAGTAACACATGCCGAGGCTCAACAGCGAGGAGGAGGCCCGCAGCATCAGATAAGACTCCAAAATGAAGTCACGGCCTACTTTCTCCAGTGCCTGCCGGAGGGCTACCAGTTTAACCATGTTACTTGCAACAGCGATCCCAGGTGTTCCCACTCCGGTTGTACGTAGGAAGTTGGACATACCCCCTTCGCTGGCTTTGTTTCATGCTGTTACAACAGCTTCCGTCCCAAGGAACAGTCCCTTCTGAATACTGCCAACACTTTATGGGCTTGGCCTCCTTCCACCTCTGAGTGGCTGATTAAATGCTTGGACCAAGCAAAAATGTACTACATTTGTGGAATCTGGACACAGAATTAATGCAGCCGTTAAAACCAATATTGGAATAATTAGGGTCATGTAAAATTGGGCTGAATTGGAAGGTGAGTGTCATTTCTCAGGTTTATTGTCTTTCTACTGGTTTCTTAATTATCCAGTACACAAACTGCTAAGAATGCTTGAAGCTTGCAGATTTCAGATTCCTTTGGCATGTCCAAGCTGAGGAAGGTCGGATCCCTGCTCTGGAAACATTCCCATGGCCACCGCCTGGACCATCAGTGGGCCAGACATCGGCGACACCCTTTGCTGGTGGAGCACGCGGTTCTCCAAGCCATGTGCTGGGCTATCTGGCAGGCCCCCGGGGGAAAAGCTGGCGGAGAACAAACACCGCGGTGGTTTACCCGCCACGCCTGTGCGTTCCAGGGAAAGTTCTAAGGCCTCCATGCAGAAAGCATTTTGGATGTCTACTTTTGGTCCCCCCTTGTTCTAGGATAACGTGGCATTCGATAAGAGAGATAGCTGCCGGTGCGCCACGTGAGCGAGCCCTTCGACACACATGAGCCAAACCCCGGGCAGCAAGCAGAATCTCTCCCGCCTCTGCCACCCTGGAAAGGGTTCCTTGGGCACAAAACTCTGAAATGCTACATTTGGCATGGCAGTTCAGAAACGCTGGACTTTGCCCCTTACCCGGCCACTCTGAATGACCTCATTTGTCTCTCCCAAAGCCAGCTCAGCTGATGCCTTGTTGAAGTCCGCCAGCCCTGCAATGGGCAGGTACTCCTTGTCCAGCTTCTTTGCAGTGATCTGGGCTTCTGCCTAGAGAGAGGAGACCATGCACCTTCACCACCCATGAAGCTGCCAGCCCTCACGCGCAGGGCACAGGCTGGGACAGACGGGTGGCGCCGATTGCTCTGGGACGGCATCTGGAGGACACGGAATCGGCCAGCTGCAAAGGCGCTTCAGAGGGTGGACCGGCCAGTTCTTCACGAGTGCTCCCAACAGCCCGAGCCACAAGTGCCCCATACCCGGCACAGGCAGCTCCCAGCTCCCCCCTCCCCTGGTCCAGTTCTGCCTTTAGCAGTCCCTCAGAGTCCTTGCAGGAGCTTCAACACCGCCTGTCCCAATGGCCACCGCTTGAAGACCCCATTTTTCCAGCACAGAAAGGCCAGCGGCCACCACGTTCTCTCCCCACCTCGCTGCTTTTCCCTTGTGATGCCTGAGGCAGCAGCCCGCCGAACAGACACGTCTTCACCCGTGGAAGGCCTTCCGCCTCCCTCGCATCTCTTTGGAACATCCAGTCCCAAAACTGCAGCCTGCCCGTGGCTCAGTTAAACCTGCCCATGGCTTCTTGGCCTCCAAAGTGTAACCTCACAAGGAGAATTCCAGCGGCATCTAGGCCAGAGCTCTCGCTGGACAGGGAAGTGCTCTCGGGTCGGCTCTCTGCTTAGTTTGATGCCTTCACCAGGAGGAGCGAGCACAGCCAGAGAGACCCCATTCCGTGCTCCACACGCTTTTCCCAGGGTTGCTCTTGGGAACAGCACTTCAGTGCTGACAGACCAGTGGGGAAAGCGGCTGGGCCAAAGGTTAAGACAGGTGGTTGCCCAAAACACCCACATCATTTCGCTCAAGCACACAATCCTGTGCATATTTGGCGCGAACAAGTCCGACCGCTCCAACATTCCACAGCCGGGTCTTCTTCTGCAGGAACGAGCGCAGGATTGCACCCCCAGGCTCTTCCTGCTGACCACTAAGCCTTAGGGGAGTATTTCAACCTTTTAGAATTATGGGAAAAAAACGGCACAAAAAGCAGGAAGCTGCCAAGTTAGGACTGGCTGGGGGAAAGAGGCAGAGCCAACACAGGGGCACGTCCTCTGGGGAGCCCAGCCCGGCCACCTGGGAGGCCCCGAGACCACGTTACGGTCTCCGTTAGCCACCATGGCACGTGCCCACTGCTCATGCCCGATGAGAACAGAGGCCGGGCAACACACGGCCTCAGCAAGGTCTGAACGGGAATGCTCCCACCCGTGCCCAGCTGGGAGGCATGCTCTGAATGGGTGGCAGGCGAGAGCGAGGGGAGCTGCGGGGGCCTCGGCTTACTTTGCGGACGCAGTCCAGCACATACGGCTTCCCATTGTCGTCTCGGTAGGCCCCAACGCCCAGGTTCATCTTCTTCGTGCTGGTGTCTCGTTTGAAGGCTTCCGTCACCCCCAGAATAGGATCGGGAGGCCCCATCTCCACATGAGCCCACCATGAGCTGCAGCATCAAAAAAAAAAAAAAAGGTTCGCTCACTTTATTCTGCACAGCTGCAGAGATTTTAATAAATATATATACTATACAACTGGCAGCTCACAGTAATAAAAAGAACAAAATAGTACAGAAACAAATTAACAATAGGTAGAAGAGGATCAAATTATTCTTAAGTATTTAAAAATTAAGCAACAGACTCTAAACGTAAGTGTCTGCTGCAGGAGGAGATCTCAAGCTGGCATATATATTCCAGGGAAATGCCAGCTGGATCTCCCTGGGAGGGCGACCCACAGACGAGGCGCCACTAGGGAGAAGGCTCTTGCGTGGCGGCCCCCTGACAGAGCCTTCTGGGTGGGGGCGCCCAGAGGAGCAGCGTAAATGGCCCGCCCCTGGAGAACACGGGATGCACACAGGCACAGCTCCTGCATCTTCCGGTCAACACAGCCTGGTCCAGTTCTGCCCTTTGGCCAGTTGTTTTGGGCTGCCCTTGCCAGCCCCTTTGGGACCGGGGGCAGGGGCCAACCTGAGCACATGGCCACAGGTGTCCCTGCAAGCGCGAGAACCTCAAATGGAGGGTGGACGCTCAGCACAGGTCCACTGCCAAAGGAGAATGACCCCTGCAGAGGAGCCGGATCCTGAGCAGCTCCGCTGGGTGGAACCTCTGGCTAAGCGTTTTGGACGTGTGCCAGCCAGAAGGGGAGGGGGCTAAAGGCTCAGCCACCCAACAGCACACCATGGGGTGAATAAACTCTGAGATCGCCAAGCGTTCTGGGCTCAGGTGCCACACAGGAGCTGGTTGTGGACTGTGCGATAGAGGGGCAGGCACCCAAGAGGCAGAGCGCCCGCTCTCTCCCATGCCTCCCCAACCACCCCTGGTTTCTAGAACTCACAGGCTGCTGTTACCTGTGAGCAGACCCAGCATGTCGATCACAGGTGAGGCTGTCATCTACCAAGGGGGCTGTTTCGGGCCAAGGTGTGCCCCGATTATGGCACCATCTCCCCACCTGGCTTTCCACCTGGCACCAACTCTACAGATGCTTTGGCACCAGGTTAAAACCCCCTTATTTGCTGTTTAATTGTGGAATGCATTGAGTGACTTTATTTTGGTTTTTAAGCATTGGAATTGCTACAGGTGCAATAGGTGTTTAAACTGTTGTCAGTTACTGCAATGCATTCTTTTGATTATTGTTGCTTAGTGTACATTGCCTATTGCATTTTCCCCTTCATGGATCACTGCCTTGTTGTGACGAAGGAGCTTGTGTAGCTCAATGAGCTATGCTGTGCAGGACAGGCCAAGGCAGAGAGCTCTGACAAAACGTGATCCACTGGAGAAGAAAATGGCAGCCCACTCCAGTACCCTTGCCATGAAAACCCCATGGACAGTACCAAAGGGCAAAGGGATGCTGGAAGATGAGCCCCTCTTCGGCAAGGGGCGGCATAGAAATGTTTAATAATAATAATAATAATAATAATAATAATAATAATAATAATAATAATAAAAAGGTGCCCAATGTGCTACTGGGGAAGAGCGGAGGGCTAGTACTAGTAGCGCCAGAAAGAATGAAGCGAGTGGGTCAAAGCCGAAAGGATACTCAGTTGCCGATGTATCTGGTGGCGAAAGGAGAGTCCGATGCTGCAAAGATCTATACTCCATAGGAACCTGGAATGTAAGATCCATGACTCAAGGCAAAGCTGGATGTGGTCAAACAAGAGATGACAAGACTGGACATCGACATCTTAGGAATCAGTGAACTAAAATGGACAGGAATGGGTGAATTTAATTCAGATGACCATCAGGTATACTACTGCGGGCAAGAATCCCTCAGAAGAAACGGAGTAGCCTTCACAGTCAATAAAAGAGTAGGAAAAGCAGTACTGGGATACAATCTCCACAATGACAGAATGATCTCAGTTCGAATCCAAGGCAAACCATTCAACATCACAGCAGTCCAAGTCTATGCCCCAACCACTGGTGCTGAAGAGGCTGAAGTTGACCGGTTCTATGAAGGCCTACAACACCTTCTAGAATTGACACCAAAAAATGACGTCCTTATCATCATGGGGGATTGGAATGCTAAATAGGAAGTCAAAAGATAACCAGTCTGATTATTCAGAGAGCAACTGATCAATCAATCTCAAATGAATATTATGTCAGTAACTGCCCACTGATCAAGCCACACTCCACCTCCAGCCACCTCATTTTGTGACTGGCTCTGCCTTCACACTAGTTTTTGTGAGAGTAATTTTCAGCCTTCTCAAATGGACTCCGATGGGCAGAAAGTTTCAGAACCCTTGTTCTACTGCACATCATTGATATACGAAAGTAGCAGCCTCTGCGGCAGTAAGGAACACCAGTGGCTCCTTTGGTAACTGGCAGAGGGTCCCAGCACTGACGGTGGGACCCTGGAACCCAGCTGAGCCAGCAGAAACCTTGACCAGAGGGCCGCCTAAGCGCAGGAAGCTCGAATGCCAGGTTGCCACAGGATTTGCACTGGGAGCTTTACAGATCAGGCACCATTTGCTGCTGCAAAATCCCCACCTGAAGTCATCTGGCACGTAACTCAGTTTGTATAATATCAAAGGAGTAAAAATAATACCAAAACTCCCTGTGGCGTTTAGCTCAGTTAAATTCAAGTTATGCCACAGCACCACTGACCATTCTGGATACTCACCTGTAAAGGAATACCATCTGCCAATCCTGAGTGCGTCCGAGCCATCATTCCCAAAACCCTGGCAACCTGGGCAGCTGTGACCTCTCCAACTCCAAACTGTGTAATAATGTTGCGACATTCTTCCACACTACAAATACAAGTTTATTTTAATGTCTTACATCCAGTCTATTGCCCTGCCCAAGCACTGGCTCAGAACATCAACTATTTCAGCTGCATTACACAAAATGAGGAGCATCCACATACTGGTAACACCTCAGTTCACACCTCAGGATAGCCTCATCCAGTGGTTTCATGCAGATGTTCAGGAGAAACAACATGGTCACACTGCCCCATCCGTCTCTGTAATGGTCATCCCACAGGGCAATCAAGGAAGTTTTTCCTCCAAAGCTAGCCTCATCTAAGAGTGCCTGGAGCTGAATGGTGAGTGCTTGCTCAAAGCACCTGGATCAGGAAGGGGATCACGAGCAACTGACCTAGAATTTCCAAGTCCAGGTAAAGTTTCTTCCCAAGCACCTGACCAGTGCTGTTAAAGGGGTTGCTGCTGCCACTTCTCTTTAAATGAAATTTACGACCTTCTGGGGGACCCACTAATCTTGGCAAAGCTTGATAAATAGTTCTGCTACCAAACGGGCTGTTTTAGCAGCAGTACTGTACTGAACCATATTATTTCCAAATAAGTTAGTATGTCATTACGTGGCTGATGGCACATGACAGGGCAACCAGATGCTTCAGGTTGGGAAGTAGCTATTCTATAAAAGCAGCCCTTCGAGAGTTCAGCATTTTAGCCAACATTTCAATAGAGCCAGTCATCATGAGCGTATTGCAACCTCACTACATGCTGCCCATGAAAGCCACACTGGGAGACTTGTTAATTTGTTCATAATTAGGAGATGAAGGAAGATTCAGAAAGCCCAAAGAAAACCTGACACGGGAAGCCCAGCACAGCACCGCCTCTCACGCTCGACAGAAGATACCCAGCAGAAGGAAGCTCCAGGGGGCAGCGATGTGTCCTTGACCACTCCTGCCCCCACTATTCTGAGCATCCATTCCCAGAACCACCTGCTGTGCACTTCCCACCAAGGGATATGTTAAAATTTCAGGTTACGAGATGATTTAGGTCCTGAAGGCAAACATGTCTTTTACACATAACACAATCAGTTGTTCTTAAGTAAGGCTGCAATTCTACATGGGTGTCAGTACCTCTGAACTCAATGGGACAGACTCATGAGTAGAAATGGATAGCAGGGTGAACAGATTTTGGGCCCAAATAGCTACACTATAATACTGGGGCCTTTCATTCATTCATTCATTCATTCATTCATTCATTCATTCATTCAAAGTTTTTATATGCTGCCCCAATACTAAAAGTCTCTGGATGTCTTACAAAAAACAAAAAAGCAACCATATACAACAAACAACACATTGCATCCGATAAAACAAGGATATAACCAAATAACTGTTAAAATACTGGGGAGGAAAAAAAAGGTCTTTGCCTAACACTGAAAAGAATAAAGTGAATAAACCCTCACACGCCACAAGCTTCATACGCACACTGCCCCCCCACACTAACTCAAGAAAGACTGGGGAAAGGGGGAAGGTTTCCAATGCTACAACAGGTAAGGAAAATCCCAGTGCTAGCAAAGATAACTCTCCGTGGACACTTAATTTCACAAAGAATCTGGAAGCACTTTAAATGACTGCCATCAAGTCAAAGTTCAGTGGGCCATCAGCTGTACCTGCCAAAGTACAGGGTGGTACCATGAGCATAATAAAGGGAAATTCTACTTCCAGTCACCTCTCTGGTAAAACTTCAAACGCTTAAATAACTTTTCCCCCGTTTTCTTTAGGAACAATGTTTAACAATCCCTGAAAAGGGCCAAGTCTCAGTGAAATCAGCCACATACCTTGTACAAAAGCCATAGCCAACTTCCTGCATGAAGTCTGCAAGAGAACTCTCCATCATTGTTTTCGCTATCCCTCCAGAATCAGGCAGGATCCTGTCCATTAGAATGTCCCGTTTTTCAGGGTATAGGAGTGGTGCAAGCACCACGGGGCAACGTTCCTGGGGAAAATCTAAGAACCCAGAGCACATTAAAATTCCACAATGATCGAATACATAAAGCAAAACAAGGACCTCAAAATCATTGGCTTTTATACTCAAAATAATGGTATACAGCAACGGACTGGTGACTCGAAAGGCACTTATGCTTACTATCCTGGAATTCAGAGCGATGGATGCAAAAAACTGGCTCTAAAAACTGGGCCAGATTGAAAGTTAACCCATTAAGAGGGAAGAACTGCTGGCTGGGTTGACCCCTGCGCTCTGGATGGGGGCTTGCAACCAGCCGACGTCCCCCTTGAAGGATCAAGTGCCCAGTCTGCTCATTTTACGGCAAATGCAGGGGTGACCCCTGTGGCTAGGAGTGCCTTTTTTCTAACGTAGGCAGGCTGTGCCTGAAGAAAGTGGCCCTGGCTGCAGTTACAGGCATGCTGGTTACATGCAGGCAAGTCCATTGCAGTGGTCTCTACAGAACCCCCTGTGTGTGCTTTGATTTTGTCATTTTATGTCTTCATTTGTTCAACTGTTTAATGTTATTATCATAAGCCAGGTTGTGAAGCCTTGCCCCTGAAGTTGGAACAGAAATAGTAAAAATTGTGGAATGCACTCTTGCAAATGCACACATGGCCTTAATTATAGCAGAATTTCATTCATGCGCCAAGCATTGCTACATGCCAGTGGGACAGGTTTTCAGAAATACAGCTCATCATGCGTCTCTGTCAGAGCTCATTCACTCGCCTGCGTGCTGCAGCTTTATCACAGGCATAAGGAACCATGGAAAATATTGTTCCCTTGCACCTTGCTGACCAGTCAGTGCAGCTGCTGCTTGTTAAGATGGGATGGGGAAGGGGAAGGGAAGGGAAGGGCTGCAACTGTGGAGAGTGATAGATGTCAATGGCCAAACCCAAACTGCAATGGGGAAGAAAGGACACATCAATGTGCATTCAAGCCCAATCCTCATTCCAAAATTCAGTGCTAGCATTAATAATATGCTCATCTTGGGAGGACTGAGCTGGGTCCTGCTGATCATTAAAATCTGGAAAAGAGGTTCCACGGACATTTCTATCAAGATCCGTATTTGGATGCACAACTGACCCTGTGACCACTGTATGCACATTGCACAAAACAGGTCCCTTTCCTAAACTGGATTCGCTCTTAGCACTTAACAGTCCAAATAATTCCTTTTTCTTCTCATTTCTGAATTGACACGTACAGCTTATTCTACACCAAAATTGCTTACTTTTGGAAATTAGTTTCAAACAAAATTGGTTTTTGCCACTTACCTCTACGTAATGTTTTGAGAAAAGCGTCAATTTGCTCCTGTCCAACCCCAAAAGCTCCCTTCTGTCCAAACAGAAGATGGGAGAGGAGGAGGTGCAAGACCTCTATTGCGATATCTTGGAAGCCACCTTCTTGATTTCCACTGACGTCTGCGTCGATATATGAACGCAGAAGATCAGGAAGTTTTTGTTTAATAAACTGAGCAGCTTTAAAAGAAAGAAGCAACACTTAATTGTTTTGGAAAAAGAGCAGAAGCATTCGTTATTGAGGCTGAGAAACTGCACACGTCCATTGTTCTGGCAATCACATAATAACTGCAGCATAACATCAGTTGCATTCCAGACCACCTGTCAGAAATCACTCGGCAGCACCCTGTCTTGGAACACAGCCTCACCTGGAGTCACCTTGCAGTTCTCAAACTGCTCAACTCCAGCATCTCAGCAGACTCTCTGAGGAAGATGCTGCTGGCAAGCTGGCCAACAGCTCCTGCATCAGGCTCTTTGTGCGTGCCTAAACCTGCTTCCTTTGCCATGACTCCATTCAAAGCCTTCTTACTGAGTTTGCTTGGTCACTCCAATCTCCTATAGCCTCCATTTCATTCATTGCAATATTTCATTTAATATTTTCAAATCTGGGACCAAATTACTGGGTTAAAACTGATGTTATTTAGTGTAGGCGCACTGAAATAAATGGGTCTACGTGATGGCTAACTGAAGTCCCTTCATTGTAATCCACCTACTCACACTGGACTAAACCCATAATTTAAGGCAAACCAAGTATGTATGATGGTTGTTCAACCATTTAAATAGGCCATTGACTTTCACGCCAGCTATTTTGTGAGACAACACTAAGTGGAATTGATACAGGAGGCCTAGTGGAATCATAAGAACATCAGGATTTGAAGAGGGTTTAACCTTCATGATTGGTGCATGTTGAATTTCACAAGGATGTATATCAGATTTACATCAAGAACTCAAAGCAATTTACATAGAGCTTCCACTTGATCTCCCATCTCAGCAGAGCTTGGAAAGAAGTCTACTGAGATCATTCTCTTAAGGGTACAATCCTATGGACAAGGGAACAAATCCTACAACTGGCTGTGGGATACTGGGAACTGTAGGATTTTTTTCTGCCCAAAGGTGCATAGGGTTACATCCTAAACCTCTAAGATCAGAACAGATATCTAAGATAGCCTTCCCTAATCTGGTCCCCTCCAGGTGAGTTTGACTTCAACTTCCATAGTGTTACACATCTGGAGAGCACCAAGTTGGGGATATAAGATGTGTGGTGCGGTGCCCTCCTGCTAGTGAAAAGTAGTGCAAGGATGATCTCTGAAATGGAAGAACTGGATAGAATGCTCTGGTCCCTCCAGTCCCTGGATTATTTAACTTAAGCAATTTGTTCCAGGTGAACAAATTGAGATTGATGGATGTATAAGCTACAACTCAGGGAACAGCTTCCATCAACTAAACCCAGCTAAGATTGGACATGTTTTTACAGTCTCCCTTCTCTTACCAAATCCTCGTAGATCTGGGTTGAAGGAGTTCAGCAAAGCAAGGCCAAAAATAACCTATGAACAAAAAGAGGAAAGTTAGAGCAGATGTGCATTCAGCCACTTGTAATATAGGCCGGGGCTGGCAAATAGATTGATCAAAAGGGATCTCCATGTCTGAGCACCGCTGCCCTCCCCACAGCTTTCTTTATCCCACCTAGTGATAAGCAACCTCCAGGGCTATGAAGGAGGTGGACCTGGTGATGTTCCAAACACCACTGTTAACATTCAAATAAGATGTTAGCAAGTGTTGAAAGCTGGACAAGAAGTGGAGGAAATCAGAGGAAATTCTCAGTAATTGCTGCCACACCTCATTTAACATGGGGTGAACACTGCCCTGCCAGCTTTCTTTCCCCAGAGCCTCTCAAGCTGCCAGTCCTCTTATAAGGTTTACAGATTTAAAATAGAACAAATGGACCCACCTCTTGAACTTTGCTTAATTTGATAACTTTGCTCAGTTGGGTGAATAAATGGGGTGATGGCTTAAGACTCTGAAAGGCAAAACAGCATCTATGAGACAGTGGCATTCGCCATCGTAACAGAATATATACTGTGACCAAAACCAGCATAATGTACCAGGAAAAATGTATGCTGTACAGAATAACCAAAATCAATCTCCATGTATTAGTGGCTTTTTTATTATTCATTTAAGCTACTTGATTGCCACTTAGTATTTTAAGATCTCTAAGCGGTTTACATAAAACACCTTCCCAGCTTTTTCAAGCTGCAAATGTTCTCCAAATACCAGTATTCTCCCATGTCAACATCCAAATTTCTCAGTTCTTAGCATGAAGAATATACTGTTTTCAGAAACACTGTTCAAAATCAGGCAATAACTCAGAATATTTTCACCAAATATATACCTGTATCTGTCCGAGGACTATATAACCTGCATTATAGGACCGCTACTTCATACATACACGCGACTACGTTCACTTAGTTCTTTTAAAAATATGCACTGGAATGAAGGGGCACATTACTCAGTCATTCCAGTGCTTCAATTTTGTTTTCTAAATAGGGCCTTGAGTTTTCAGATCTTTATAGATTGGCTTAATTCTACTTTAGAAAGGTTCTATACAATGTTTTATTGTGCTGTATGTTTGTGAGCTTAGGGTATTGGGCAGCATCCAAATGTAATTAAAGAAGTGTCAGAAATCACAGGGGCGTGCAAGGCAGGCCTTAACTGGCTCTCCCTTTCTCCTAGTCTCTCTCATTACTTTTAGGAGTTTAGCACTCAGTTGTCAGCACTGAATGCCAGTGGGAAATCAGAGCTGCTATTCGCAGTCTTATCTAGATGACCCACTGACCTGACATGTTGAAATGTCCCTGCCAGTACTTGCCCAGCTAATTCCAACTGGGCTATCACTACAGCAGCAGGTAAGGTCAGGAATTAGACAGTGAAGAGTGGAGAAGTCAGTGACCAAGTTCTCACAACACCAGGGTAGTTAATAAGCAACAGAGACACATGCCTGTCACACACCAGCTGTGCTCCTTAAGCACCCTCGCCAGGCAGGGGTCATCGCAACGTCTGAACTCAGCAAGATTGGAGGCTGGAGTAATGAACAAACAACCCAGAAACCACATTTTGTTGTAAGTTTACTGGGCTGTTTGCTATTCACCCTAGCTGGGTTCACACAACATGCTCCAATGAGGGTACGCAGAAAACACAGGCCAAAGTGCAACCGGTGTGTGCAGAGGTGGGTGAAAAATCACCGTGGCTTACTAAATGCTCTTGTGTTGTGCGAGCCAGCTCAATGTCAGTAGAGCACAAGATACAGAAGATACTGTGCCCAATTCCTGAAGTGTGCAGAACTTTTTGAGAGCCGGGATGGATGGTGGAAATCACTATTTGTCCTACCCTGCCTCTCCTATGGTCAATTAACACTCCCATATGATAGCAGCTCTTTTAAGGGGCATACAAACCTTCTGATAGTGCAATGGATTTTCAATAGCATAGGACAGCGTCGAAATAAAGTTTGGCTTTGTAATCAATGACGCACACTCCTGGATCAGAAACTGAGTCTGAAAATAGAAAAGGAGACTGCTATAGCAAAGGTATCATCTTTAAAGCATAAAATATGCCACGAGACGTTCAGTTCAGTATTTCATTGTGGAACTATTACATCAGCACTCTAAAAGCATCATTTTAATGTGGGATGCCTGACAAGTATTTGCATACGGTAGTAGAAGCTGGATGGCTGACAAAATAAGTTGGGACAGTTTTATAGGAGGATGGAACTTGATACAAAGATGTTTCTTGCTTCTGGTTAGGCCCAGCTATGGGCAAAGGATTCAAACAAAGGAGTACAGGCTAAAATGAAGCTTGTGAACCACCCAGGCAGCTTTGGCTATTGGGCGATAAATAAATAAAAATTGAGAAGCATTCCAGAAAGGAAAAATTAAGCAAGCCAAACAATGAATATACTTTAAAAAGAAAACAGTATGGGATTCACTTATTGTCCTATGTAAGTGTTAATACTGAGATTGGGGGAAACCAAATTCTAACACATAAGATTCTAGAAACAGCAGTGTGAAAAAGAGCCTGAGAAAGAAGCTCAAGGTGAACAATGCTGTCCACTGCTAACCTAGAAAGCTTTAAAAGTTGCTGAAACTCATCATACCACCAGCATTTATTTTATTTTTGACATTTATAGCCCGCCCTATTCTAAAACATTCCCAGCAGGCCTGACACTTGTGGACTAAGTCAACTGGAAATCATGCAAGGAGACCTTGCCTGTGACACCCTCGTTTATGAACACCCAGGCCGGGACAACTGAATCACTGGCCCTGCTGCAGGAGTTCCTCTCTGTAATCTCCCAGGAAGGTACCCTTGGCCCGCTCTCCTCCATGTTTCTACAGGTCAGCAAAAACTTGCCTGTAAAGCAGCAGCTGATGGGCCAAGCACTCCACCCTTGCATTCAAACTTTTTATAAGCAGTGTTCTGTTGTACATTTAAAGCAGACAGATAGCTATTTTAAATGTCTGTATATGAGACAGTTTAATTATTGTTTTAGAAATGCACACTGTATGCATTGCAGCACATGTATTGTACATTTTCATAATAAACTGGTGCATACATTTTGAGTCCCAACATTGTAGAGTTTTAAAAAATTTAAAGAAGAAGTGAAGGAACTAATTGTGAATGTTTATGCAAAATTTACCTGGTGGAAATCTTTGCCGCTGCTTTTACCATCGCCACTGAAATCCACATGCGAGAATAGACAGCGTAGTAAATGCCTGTCTGCCTCGGGACCGTGCCGATTCACAATCTGGGAAAAACACAGAACAGAGCATCTCACTTTAATGGAGTCACACACCAGCATATTAGTCACTACAGGAAGTTTATGAATGCAGGAGCCCATAGTTCCGAGGAAGAATACTAAAGCACTAACTTAGTGAATCTGCTCAGTACTTTAACCCTGTTCAGATATAATGACAACTGATGACTTAACCCATGGACTGTCAAATTGCAGGCTACTGTTACATCCAAACCTAGCAATATGGGCTAGCTGTAACTTGTTAACCACAGACTTGTGTTGCTTGTTGGGTTGTGAACTCTGGGTTGTTCAAGCCATGGGTTGTCATTATATCCAAACCCAGAATTATGAGTTATAGATGGGTTGTTTCACTGGGTAACAGATACAGCAAGCAATAGCCCTATGGGTTGTGGAAAGCATACAAAGTAAACAAACAAACAAACAAGCCACTGTAAATGATGTGGTGCAGTTATTGATGACTCTCTTGCCTTGCATATGGGGATACCTGTCTGTCCAGAAAGAGCAGCAAGGATGTCCTCCCTCTTGCAGTTTACAGCTTGCCATGAAAGAATCATGATACACTTTCTAAGTCGGCTTTGTAACTCAATGAAAATCTTGCCATTATCACTACTGAATGTGGTGAACTTGATGAATTGTGGCTATGTATCCCAACTTGTGTCTGCATTTTAGACTGACCACCAGTAACAACAAATCAGCAGTTGCCAACAGATGATCATCTGAATCTTCAGTTCAAAACACACATGCCTTGAGATGTCTTCCCTGGTTAGAAAAGGAAACATCTGGAGTGGTCTCAACCCCTGGTCCTCTCCTCAGGCCATGGAAAAAGATAGGAAAAAGGCTTTCTCCGCATTTCTTCCCGCCTCGTTTCCCCTGTAACCACTTCTAGCTATCTTGCTACCTGCTAAGGCAGAAACCCATCAAGGCCTGTTAGGTGGTGCCGACTCTTTTTTCATTTCGCTGTCAGGCCAAAACCTTTTTATTTTCCCATTATATTAAATGTTAGTAGTGCTTTAAGATTGATTTTATATATTATTATCTGGATGCTGTATCTTATTTATTATATTATAGCCCTGAGGCATAAAGGGCAGGATATAAAGACTGCAAATGAATAAACAAATAAAGCCAAGGAAGCAACTTTCTCCCCAGAGTCCAGAATGAGAAGTGGGAGGGCACCTCTGCCTCCCTTTTCCCCACTGCTGGTTCCATCTCAGGAACATGCTCAGGCAGGCAGGGTTGAGGAAGGCCACAGAGATGATGCTGAGCTGGAAGAGTCCCAGCACTTTGGAAGCCGTGTGGAGTGACACGGTGCTCACAGGGTTTTCTAGGCAAGCGCCAGCATGAGGCTGGGCACACAGCCCTGCTGTGCATGTCAGAGAAAGGTTGCACAAGATGAAACAATTAAAAAAATTATGACCCACAAGCAGCATATGAACATTAATCTGTGAATTATGGGAAGGCGGAAACGAGTCTGCCAGATGGAGGGGGATCACACTTGCAGACAGTGTCCTGCGTCACGGCAACCCCGAGCTGGCCACTGCCCACAGCCAGCCTCTTCCCAACCAGTCAATCTGGCCTGCTCTAGGCCTCATCAAGGGCTGCACAGAGGGTGGGTGTACACCAAACTGAGTTGGACCAGCAGTCAGAGAGGCAGTTGGACCAGTGGATGATAAAGGACTAAAAGGAGCGCTGAAGGAGGAAGATTAAAAAAACCTGAATGAATCCTTTTCATCTGTCATCTCAGCTGAAAGTACAGAACAGATACTTGTTCCTGAACTTTTATGTATTTGGAAGGAAGTCTGTGGAATTCAGGCAGACAGGAGACTCACTTTGACTACCTCCCACTCAGCTCCACCTTCAGTTTTCTGCAAATCCACAGCCCGCGAAAATTTCCAGGAAATGGCACAAGTACTTAATTGTACCTGACTGACATAATGAAGCAAGGAGATGGGAAACAAGTGCTGCAAGTTTTCGAGAGGTGTTATTTCCTTGTGCAGGGGTGGGGAAGGTGAGTGGATTGTTCCCATGCAAGAATCTTCACTCCAGTGCAGAACCCTGTACCCACAAGCATTGCAACAATACAGTTTTGCAAGCACTGGCAGATGCACAGGAGAGGGTCTTCGATGTTTCCGTCAGTGCACCCCCAATTTCCAAGGCTAGGAGCTGAGCAGGATGGCCAGCAGCCTGCTCCACAGTGGCTTGGAGCCAAAGCCACGCAGGCGAGTACAGCTGACTACCTTCGAGGACATTCCCCACATATCGCCATGACTAGATCATGCTCGTTTTGTGCGCAGCGGCATCTCTTACTATTGCTAAGTTTACAAACTGTACCTGGTCAGTGCTTCAGATAAAAGCCTTTCCTTACTTTTCTAGTGTCCCTTCCTAGCATTGCCATGCTACAAATACATTACTAGTGCAACACTAATTAAGATGTTTGTACTATGTGACCTGCACTGCAAATTACTAAAACCTGTAGAGTGAAGCCTGGATGCGGTGTCATTTATCAGCGATAGCGGGCTATGCTCCCCTCTCAGGGAGAAGTGCAGCAGTGAGAGTGCTAGACTGGGGCTCTGAAGACCCAGGTGTAGTCCTCACTTGGCCATGACCTTCCAAGGGTTGGTCAGGTAGTGCCCTCTTCAGCACTGTGGAACTCTGAGGACCTGACCCCTGGTCTACTGGGGAGCTCCAGGCAATGAAACAGATCAGAATACAGCTGGGGCATAAATCCCAACATAAAGGTGACCAAGCACATGCTAGTATCTAACTGCATCTACCTGAGTGAAGGCAAAAGTGCCTTTCTTTGCTGTGTCTATCGCACCTTAAGTAACCATCCAGTTGAGCTTCTAGCGGCTGAATTTCCCTAACCCAGGGGTCGGCAACCCGCAGCTCTGGAGCCGCACGTGGCTCTTGAATCCCTCTGCTGTGGCTCTGTCGCTCAAAATACGCGTCACAGCCGCCGATCTGCAACCGAGGCTCCGAGTTACAAAACATGAATAGGTGATGATGAGGCATCCACTCAGGAATGCCCCACTGGCTGGTTAAGGAAACTGCGACATTCCTCTGCTAGTGTGCAGGGAAAGAGTGGAACAAGCTTCCTGCAGACTTTCATGTTACACAAAACGCTGCTGAAAAGAATCTCTTTGTCCAAATGTCATCTCCTTCCTCTGAATGATAAAAGCTGCGCTTGGGACCTGTCACAATTCACATCACTTGACTGTTTATCTGCTAATAAGTCACTAAACACACCTATATCGGCGACCTGCGCCAATTTACTGAGCTTTTTCCCCCAGTAGGCCAACCATGGATAAATCGAAGAGAAGAAAAGTTTCTGAAGAAAACCGAACGTTTAATGGTATGTGGGTAGATTCATTTGCTTTTACTGCTGACAAACTTATGGGGTTTGCTGTTTAATGTATGCAGCCCTTTAACACTGACTTTGACTCTTCAGGAAGCTGTTCTCCTATTCAAAATATATGAAAGGAGTCCTACTAGTTTATAATGTAAGATTAAAAATAACAGTGTTTAGTGACTGAACAAGAGCTGCAGCTAAATCATAATGAAGATATAGATCTACTTCCTTGTTTTAAGAAGATAAAAATTCCAGCAACATTATCACATTGGGAGAGGGATGTTTGTTCAATATTTCACCAGACTATTATTTATATTTGTTGTATTGCAGAGACGCTACTTACTGTATGAAAGTATCAATTAGCCTTTTTATTCAGGTTGACAGCTGACTGCACCCTTCAGGACAAGTGATAAAAGGATGAGGGTGCACAGAAGCAGACAGCATTTTTGGTTTGCTGCAGGTGGATAATTTAAGTTCAGCTTTTTATTTCATATATACGAGGAGGACTCAAATAGACATTGAGTATTTTATTTGAAAGTAACCTTCGACCCAGCATCTTTTTTTTCGGAATTCAAAATGTTTTTGTTGCATGCAGGAATAAAAATTTGTTTTCTCTGTAGCAGTTCATTGATTTCATAAATGCAACACACTATAGTTTTTTTATACATAGCATAAAGGTAAAAAACGATATATGTAGTGCTATCTTCATTTTAGATGTCAAAAGGGTTTTGCAGCTGCCGGTGTTTTCTTTTCTGTGGAAAACTGGTCCAAATGGCTCTTTGAGTGTTAAAGGTTGCTGACCCCTGACCTAGCCCAGGAAGCCCAGTGCTGGAACCTCTCAAGGACTGCTGTAACGGGTTGGCAGGACAGTCCAAGGATGAAACAGTGAGGCAGAACCTATTGCACCGTGCATCATCCTATCCTATTCTGTAGGATCAGTTTCAGCTTCTAGAGCCTACAGATGCCTGCATCTGTCTGAACCATCCTGTGCTCCCTCAGCTCCTGCCCATCATGGCTTATTCACGCATGGGTCTGACTGGATGGATAAGAACAGTGGAACCTCACTGTATGATAGCTTAGTCCCCACTGCCTTGTGGGGTGCAGTAGTGCAACCAGTCTTGGAAAAACCCTCCCTGGAGACAGAGATACATGAGCACTACTCTCCAGTCAAACACTCCGTTCCTAAGTAAGGTGCTCAAGGGAGTGACGGCACCCCAGCTGCAAGCAGTCTGGACCGAAGTTGACTACTTGGATCCGTCCCAACCTGGATTCAAGTCTGGGCTTGGAACATAGCCAGCTTTCGTCACCCTGCTGCATGGCCCTCTTTGGGATCAAGATGGGACAACATGACCCTCTTACCCCTCCTGGATATATCCATTGCATTTAGTATCATTGACCACAGTATCCCTCGAGACTGCCTCCATCAGTTGGGAGGCACTGTTCTATTGTGAGCCAGCTTACTTGCAGGGCCAGTTCCAGAAAGTAGCACTGGATGATCAAACCTTTTAATTTTTATTTTGGTTTTATTTTGTTGTTCCTACTTAGATTTTTAAATCTTTAAAATGCCCAGAGAGCCCCATGGACTATAGAGAGAAATAAAAATGTAGTAGTGGTAGTAATAACTATTATGAAACCATCGGACGAT